ACGCTTTGACACGTAATTTTCAGCCGACAGCTGCGTTTACTCAACTTTATACGTAGTTATGTCACTATAATAACGCTATAGTTGCGTTTTTTACGCTACCAGTACTATCAATTAACATGGAAACACGTCACGTAATATAGTGTGAAGATTGTGAGACAAATATTCAACATGCTCTTCTATTATCGAAATTAATTATTAACAGTAATAAAACAGCGTAACACGCTACACATTTGGCGTAACTATAGGCCAATACCAACGTAAAATAGCGGCTTAATGCTGCTGTGTTTCGTAAGTTTAGAGAACCGAAGAACCTTTGTAATAGAAACTAGCATTCCATCTTAACACTCAGGTTTGACAACGTATTTATCATTTTGATTCTTAATCGAGGATAAATGTGGGTCATAGCGTCCACTTAGCTTCAGGTATACCATGTGCTTGTTTGTCGATGTTTATAATAACATTTATAAATAATCTAATGTAATATGAATAATCTAATAGAATTTTACTAATAATATATAAAGAAAGAAAGAAAGAAAAAGCATTTATTCACGGTCTAATCACAGTAGATACAAAACAAAGCAAGAAATTGGAATTAAACAAAAAATAAAACAATATTTCCCTAAATTAACAAAAATGTAAAAATAATATAAAATGAGTCTGTGTAGCAGCATAAGACCGTGAAATGGACAGGACTCAGTAAAAATCGAGATACAGAAACACGAATTGCTCTGATCCCGACACTGGTTTTCAGTCCAGCCCGCACTCCGACGTAACTCGGACGGCTGCCTCAATGCACATGCTATAATGCGACGCGGAATATATAAAAAAAAATATATGTTTTTAAATTCTAATTCACATAAATAGTGGATATCATTAGTCTAATGAAGGTAAGTACAAAATAGAATTAACGTTTTCCTTCTAAATATATCATTTTTATTTATTAATAATGCGGAATAAACGTAGGCTAAAGAATAAAGGTAAGAAAATGATTGTCAGAAAAAGTAAATTTATTATATAAATATTTAAATAAAATAGTTTTATATATTATATAAAGTGAAAATTAAAAATATCTACATAATTTATGGGACTGAGATTATTGACGTGTTGAAAGAGCTTAACCTCCCACCAGTTTATTTTATAGATCGGTATTTTTTTGTTCCGAAAGTAAGTGTAACCTGTATTTGATTTTAAACCCACTAATTGTTTTCAGGTCACGCAGTGGAGGCGGGAGGTTATTCCAACATTTAGTGGCATTATATTTAAAACTACCTCTGAAAGCGGCCGACCGGTAGAAAGGATATACTAACTTGTAATTGGATGATCTGGTATTATACTGCTTATTTTGATCTTTAGACCAAATCAACTTATTATATAAATATAAAGGTTCTTTATTTTTAATAACTCCAAACAAAAGTGAGGCAAAGTGTAGTCGCCTGCGACAGTCCATTTTTAAAATATTAGCGTTATTAATGAAAGGGGTTACATGTGCTCGTGGTGGTACGTTGAAACAAAAGCGTGCACAGGCATTCTGTACCCGCTGTATTATTTGCTGTGTTCGAGATAATAGTCGTGGGCCTATGAGAGAATCCGCGTAATTGAATTTTGAAAGCACGATAGACTCGCAGAGATGTATACGTAAGGTGACACTTAGGTACTCGCGAATACGGTAAAGTACTTTCAACCTATAAAAACAGTTACGTGCAATATTCATTACATGTTTCTCAAAACGAAGTTTGTCGTCCATTATTACCCCCAAATTTCTGACTTCAGTGACTCTCACAATAGGTTCGTTGTTTACAATAATGGCAGGGTGGCTTAGTGTGATCTTTTTTATTTGATTTGGCGATCCTAGAATAAGGTACTGCGACTTTTTTGGATTGAGAACCAATGCGTTACGCTCTGACCACTAAGATATCCTACCCAAATCCAAGTTCAATTTTGTCACTGCTACTTGAACATCACAAGGCTTAAACGATATATATATCTGTAAGTCGTCAGCGTACATGTGGTACTTACAATACTCTATATTTTTAATAATGTCTGCACTATATATTATAAAAAGTAAGGGACCTAAAATGGATCCTTGCGGTACTCCTCGGTTCACAGGGCGCTCCCCAGAAATAGCTTTACCTTTTCCATTTAACTGTATTTCAACTTGCTGTGACCTATTTTTAAAGTAACTGGCAAACCATTGGGTTGCGTTTCTGCTTAAACCATAAAAATATAATTTTGAAAGAAGTAATGGGATATTGAGGGTTTCAAAGGCACGCGAGAAATCAAGTAATGTTAAAATAGTACCCTCACCACTGGATTGTGCAGTCAGTATATCATCCACGACCTCTATAAGCGCTGTGGTAGTGCTGTGCTTCTTTCTAAAGCCAGACTGCAGCTCAGGAAGGATGTTATTTGCTTCAAGGTACTTTGTTAGCTGATTACATGCAAGCTTTTCTATTATTTTAGAAAGGCACGGTAGAATACTAATTGGCCTGAGATCCGACATACAAACAGGGTTACTAGTTTTTGGTATAGGTTTAACGATGGCTTTTTGCCAGAGATCCGGATAGGTATTTGTCGCAAAAGATTTATTAATTATGTATGTTATTTCTGTAATAACATCTTTAGGTAATAACTTTAACATATCAAGAGAAATGCCATCGCACCCCACTGCATTAGACTGCAAAGAGTTTATAACTTTAACCACCTCATCCTCCGAGGCTTCTTTAAAATAAAAAGAGTTATCATTAGTACCATTAAATTCAAAGAAAGTGAGAAGAGACAATGAGACGTCATTTTTACCAGGAATATTAAGAAAATGATTGTTTAAAGCATCAGGGTCACTGAAATGGGATGGCAAAGAAGTATCCTTACTTTTTATTTGAACTTGGCGTTTAATGTGCTTCCACATTATTTTAGGTTGATTTAGTTTTGAATTAATATAAAATTTGAAGTAGGCAATCTTTTCTGAAACTATCGCTTTATTAACTATTGATTTTAGTTCCCTATAATAATCCTTATGTGGAGTAAGTTTTGTTTTCCGGGCTCTCACTTGAGCCTCGTTGCGTGTCCTCATCATACATCTTATGTTATGCGTTATCCATGGATAATATTTTTTTTTATATAGACAGTTTTAGGAGGGGCGTGAGAATTAAAGATATTTAATAATTTTTTGTTAAAAGAATCAATCATATCGTTTATGTTATCTGACGATGCACAGTGCCAGTTAATTTGTTTTAAATCTTGGTTGAAAAGGTTTATGTCCATATCCCTTAAAGGTCTATACGTGACGCTTTCAGGCTGAAACTTAGGCTTGGGAATGTCAAGTTCACATACAATAAAGGCATGACTACTGAGGTCACTAATATAGTCCACACTTATATATGACACCGATGCATCTGAACATATAACATCTAACAGTGTCTCACTATATTCAGTAAAGTGTGTTGGTTCCTCAACATATTGCACGAGGTTATTGCATGTTAGGAAGTCCGAAAGCATTTTGGTACTAACACAATTTTTATTTAAAATGTCGATATTAAAATCCCCAAGCAGTACTGTTTGATCGTAGCCTACAAAAGAACCTAAGGACTCGCTCAGCGCGTCCAGAAATAATGTCACGCTCAACCATGGGGGACGATAAGCAGTACCAAAGACAAGGGACTTGCCGTTAATTTTAATATTTAACCACATCTGCTCCACCACGGGACAAATAGGATGTTGAATAATCTTTGACGACAAGCCCCGTCTCAAATAAAAACCCACACCGCCGCCACGCGCACGAACTTCGGGAGGTCGGGGTACGTGAAGCAGTCGATACCCTGGAACAGAAGGCGCCCGGCCTTCCTCACCTGTCCGAAGCCATGTTTCATTGATAGCCATTATGTCTACAGAATGATGCGCCATAGCAGCTAGGAATTCGTCGTGCCTAGTACCAAGGGACCCGGGGTTCATGAAGCCAATTTTCAACTTATTTAATTTAGTCATTTTCAAAGAATTTATAATAATACGAAAACGTTATAAAATTAATAATAACCCAAACAGTACCATAATAAAGGAGACTATGATACCACTGCTTATGTACTGTCAAATACATTTCTATGTATGGGCCACAGTTATAAGTTATAAATAAACATAATTGATTTCCGAATATATTATCCGACAATATCCTGTCGCCATTTCCCGTCATGCTGCTACACGTTAGAAAGCAAACATTAAACCTGTCACAATATTCACTATAACAAAAGACAAAGAATAAATGTGATAATATTAAAAGAGTAACTACAAAATAACAGACAAAAAATTTACTCCATACTCCATAAACGTATGCAAAGCAACTTAAGAAAGATAAAATGTAACCTAATAATAAAATGGAAATACAATGTAGTCTAAATAAAAATAAAAATAAAATGTTCTCGTAATAGCAGCTACGTAGATGCGTAGGGGAAACAATCATTGAGAAATAATTATAATCCAGACGGCAGCCAAATTGACATCGTGCAAGAAGTAACGTAAAGAACAAGATTAAAATTCGCTTCAAACTATTCAATCCCCAAAAATTTTGTTTATATCTATTTCTGTTCGAATTCTATAACGGGGTGAGCCAGAATCACGACGCGTAAAAATGCATCCTTCCCGCGTCCACACATATCTCCAGCCTTTGCGGCGCCCTTCTTCCCGTGCTTTATAAAATAATTGCCTATTGATTGAGGTGAGCCGCTCATTAACATAAAATCGGTGCGGCTCGCCACCTAAGTTCAAACCGGCAGTATCCGCCCCTCGCCGAACGCGCGCTTCGTGAATTAGTTTGTCTCGAATCACTCGACTAGCGAGACGGACAACTAACGGACGCGGCCTCCGCTTGTCACCGCTGCCTGGTATTTCCTCGCGGCGCATGCCTATACGCCTTGCACTTACAACATCGCGCTCATCCAATTCAGTGCCAATTTTAGCCGCAAGCATAGTGACGAGGTGCACGGGGTTTTCGCCCTTCTGTTCTATTACACCAGATATTTCCAGATCGTTTAAAAGTAATTCTTGATCACGCTCGTTAAGTCGACACTTTAACTCCGCTATGCTATCTTCGACCTTGGACCCTCCGGGTTGATTCGGCAAGTCCGTTGCCTGCTGCTCAAGACATGCGATCCTTTTCTCGACGTCGCTAACCCTGTTACTTATCTCACTAACATTAGAATTAATGTTAGTGATTTCCTGGCGAAAAGATACCATTTCGCGGGCAATAGTAGTCAACTGCTCGCGTATTAATTTTAGCTCGTTTGCTAAGTCGACATTAGTTTCACAGCGCCCTCCATCGTCGGATCCAAGCTGTGCATCGCCGAACTCTGTGTCCGTGCCGCCCGAGCTACACGAACTGGGCGTAGCTATTGTGTTCACCCCACTCGCACATACATTTTTTGCCTTACAACCGCTGCATTGCCATTTATTTGATATTCGGCCGTCAATAGGAATACTAGCACATTTGCGATGAAATAAATGAGTGCAACTTGCGCACTTTATCGAGTCAATTGTAGAAGCAAAACGACCACAGGCGCCGCACTTATTTGCCATTTTTATTGACAAGTACTTTATTTAGATGAAAGTTAGACCAATAGATGTCGCTGTACGAAGTTTGTATTAATTATGTAATTTGATATGTATAATTATAAGAATGTTTAATAATTAGCGATTTACTATATACTATTTACCTTGTTTACATTTAACTATTTAAGGTTTGTTAAATAACTTAAATGTTTACAGCAGCAATTTGCAATACGGTTTAAATGACAAACAGCTGATCTTGTTACGAACAGCTGATCACTATTTTGCACTGTAACAACCAACGACCACTGTTTTCACTTTATTCTACTAATGTATCTTATAACACTACTAAAATTGTTCTTCAATATACTTGTTTACTTATGTAAAAATGCTGTTTTATATTTAAAATAATTTTTAATACGGGACACAAGCACTTGACAGCCGACCAAGCTACCCGCCAATCTGAATAAGATGAATCATTTAATCTATTATTATGAATATGTAATCTATGAACTACGAATGATATTTGACATTTGTATGCCCATGAGGCTGATCACGGACTGAACTTTATTTGTATTTAATTAAGACTTTTTTGTAACCTGTGAATCAGGTTACAAATTTATTTGCTCATTCGCAAAGTCCGATGGGACAGTAAATCGATACGACCGGAAAGAGATGAGGCGCAGGACCAAAGGCTTTACGTGCTTTCCGAGGCATGGGTTGGAGACATTGCCAACTTCCTGACTCCGGGCAGCTGCTGAAAATTTCTTGACGGAAAACTCAATAAACTGATTTTTTGGCACGACCCGGGATTCGAACCCTTTTTCCTGATTCACAGGTTACAAAAAAGTCTTTGGTGAAAAGGGATTTTATTTGATTTGAAAAAACTAAATTCTAAAACAAGATAACATAATGAACGACTTTGAAATTAATAACAAGCACGTCGCGTGATTCAGACTTTAAATATGCAAACGAGTGGGGAGTTTCAAGTTCTACCCTCGCTTTTTAATCTCTTTTTATTTTCTTCCCACTGTGATGATTAGTAAGTAAAAATTGCTTCAGTATCATAAGCAAAAAACTTTTGGGAATATTCTAATTCGCGTAAGAAATACTAGCAAACTATGATAATGTAACTGCACGCTGCTTGTGAACAAGAAGACGTCCTTTTGATTTATCTTGCGTTGATGTTTCTCTTGTACTTGTGGAACCTAGTTGAGAAAATTTTATTTTGTAATAAATAGTAAAAGCCAACTTCTCTAAACAAGAAAGAATAAAATATTTTCTCATAGCTCCAGAAGTCGGTGCTCGACTTCAAAAGCTATTATGTGAAAAACTATTTTATTAAACTATTTTATTCTTTATAGTTCTTTATTATATTCGGATGTCACCTTTTATAAAACGTTTAATTTTTGGTACATTTTGAACTTCTAAATAAGAAATTTCATGAATATAACGGCTCATAACAGTCCCTGCTTCAAAGCCATAACTAAAGTATAAACTAAAAAAATAAAAAATATCATTAAAACCGGGGTGTCATAAGCGGGAGGGGGTGGACTGCGGATTTCAAACCGTCTGCCAAGCGCGGTAACTATTGCAACATCCTCCTCATGACGTAATCTATGGGAAAAGCCGATGTTAGGCAGTGGACATTTATAGGCTGTAATGATACCAATTTGGAATAGAGATAGGTTTGTTTTTCCTTGGTAATAGACTCGTATAGTTGCACACCAGGGTCAAGTAATAGGAAATTATTCTTTATAATGATTTGTTTAAAAAGTTCTTCACCATATTTTGATGCGTCACATTGAAAAGTTTTTGAAAGATTTTGACAGCAGCTTGAGCCAGCAAGCATTCGTTGACAATCGTATCTCAATGCGCCTAACAGACAAACTTACTTGAGGTTTGAATCAATACAGAAGCACTGATTTCATCGTTTCTACTACAGTTCACATGCGCAAACACTTAATACAAAAAATCAGATTACTGTTTCGTATTAAGATATAAATAGAACCATTAATTTATCGCTAAACAGAAGCAACAATCCGCCAGCGATCAAGTTCCTGCCACCACTCATGATAGTTTATGTAAATGACAACTTAATTGAATATAAGAATATGAATATGAAGAGAGTAATAGCTCCAGAGTAATAGCTGAAATCCAGTATTTGCTCCCTAAGCAGTAATCGTTGAGCCTACCCATTTGTTAAACTGCAAAATGCATGCGCTTTCTTTTTCATTTATAATTCAATATACTACTTGTTACAAAAATCCTGTGGTTACCGTTAAGATCCTTATCACAATCAGTATTCAAACCTAGCTTACTTTAATTTTATTTCAGAAAACTTGATTACTTTTTTATAATCTAGTTTTCTGAAGTGAAGTTATTTCTATGTTGCTCTAAGGTTATTTCTATATGTTTGAATATTGATCCTGTTAACGCACTTTACAGGAATTACTGAGTTTTTGTTAAATGTTGTATAATATTATTCATTATAAACTAACACATACCCTAGTACATGCCACTTAGAGCCTCATCGGTTTAACTATGTTTTTGAGTGTTTTAGATCTTCTTTATGTTATATGCTGTTATGTAATTTTTAACTGACTGCCCCAGAATAGCAATATTTTTCGAGAGTATGTATGTATTTATGTCTATTTCCTTGACACGCTATGTAGTCTAAATGTCTTTGATGAATCTTAACATATGGGGTATCGTTAGAATCGCCTTATTTGTGGGAGTGATACATATACAGGGTATACATTTTTCTTTTTTCGTTACGCAGTCGGGTTTCTTTTAATTACTATTTTAACTATTACGCTTGTTTGAAATAAGTAATAAGTTTTTTTTACCGAATATACCATATCTACGTTTGTGATTAGAGAAACAAATAAATGCTTCATCTAACTAGTTACCTATCCTACTGCACAAATCAGAACGTCAAAAGTTGTAGGTGGAATTTAAACGATCGTTACTGTCAGCCCCACGTTACAGAAAATTTGATGACAAAGCCATTAGGAAAGCGTTCCGTACTTGAAGCGTTGTCAGTAATTTTGCGTTTAAATGATAATAATATATGTGATATACAAATACACTATTTCGTTTGAGTTTGCGTTTTATTTTAATTTTTTATTGAAATGTCAATTTATTACCTATAGTCAATAATTTTTTTTTAATATTTGTTTGACCTTTAAATTTTTCAACATGATAGAGCCATTCCGCATCTATATTATGGTTGTAGCAAGAATGGGTCGGCTCAACCGGAGTAGGACAGAATGGGACACGCTCTTACAGAATAGAAGCAAGCGAAATAGCAGCTTAATGCTGTTGTGTTTCGTATGGTAAGTGTAGATAACAAGAGACTCTTTTTACTGGAAACATGGCATTCCATTTTAGTCCTCAGGGTGACAACGCATCTGCATTTTTATTCTTAATCGAGAATAAACACAAATGTCTATGGGCTACAGCATTCACTTGCCATTAGGTTAACCGTGTGCTAGTTTGTCACGCTTATTCTATAAAGCAATTTGGCGTCTGGTTTTTGCTATTATAGCAAAAAACCAGACGCCAAATTGCTTTAATGAAAAAATGGTAGTCAATGAACTGTGTCAAAAGAGGTATCAATGATTAGGTCTTTAAAAATCATATTTAGGTTGTCTAGTCATTTTTCATTTTGAATAACCATTTAAGGTCTAAAACGATTTAAAATTTAGATAAAGATTAAGATTTAGCGAACATTCTCGCTTGAATTTTCAAAACTTACAGTAAAGCTATGATAAAGTTCATAAATAACCGTATAGTTGGTATTATTAGTAATTTCTTTCGCAGTCGGGTTTCTTTTAAAACAGATGACCCCTGAGGGTCAAGATGGATTGCCTCGTATTCAGTGAAAAGGGTCTCCGGCTTTCTACTCACCATACGAAACACATTAAGCTAATGTTTTAAGCTGGTATGCTGTAAAAGCGTAGTCATTCGGCGGTCGAGCCGACCTGACTTCGTGCTACAATCATAATATATCTTCGAGGTGAATAGCCAGTACATTGCCACTTTAGCTTACTAATCAATTACGCTATGTCAGTGACTACGGTCCTACTATTAATATTCTCGTTTCCATGTCTAGAGCCACTTGCATCCATTGAGTTCCTGTATCTTTACCAGATCATCACTCGATCAAGTGATACCGCGCTACAGCTGTATGCCCTTAGCGCACGAAACGTTCGCTTCAGGTTAGTGATCCGTTCCTGGGAATTAGGAGATCTCCAAGCTGTTACTTAAATTAGTTTTGTAAACAGTTTGTATAACTTGTCTTTTTTATATTATAATTTTACTTTGAAAACCTTTCCACTGGGTTTCTCGTTGGTTTTTCCCCGGACAGAGATTTTTTACGAACCAGTGTTAAAGGAAAAAAAAATACTTTCTATATGAATTACCTACTTGTAATTTATATAGAATGAAAAATGTAGTACCGTTTCTATTCTCATATTATGCGCCAAGCGATAGCCAGAAATACTAATGTAAAATGTTAGAATAAGTCTTTACTCGAACTTAGAAGATTGATGTTTTAAATAATTAAGGTCGATTTTTCAAAGATAAAAGTTATTTATGAGATAAAATAAAACAAAAATAATATAAAATTACAGTTGTTTGAAAAAAAAACATTAGTATTCAGTCAGGTTTTAATTCATTTGAGCATCCTCATACAACCAATGGTGACGGATCACGTCTCAGATACGTAAGTTTACACTCCTATGTTTTCAAATTTTAAAAAATACGTGACAAGAAAATGTGTCGTGCTCTTCCGAACGTCTGCTCAGCCGAGATTATCGATTGAACTCTTGATCGAATCTGGACTAGTACCTAGTAGTACAATGACAACCGACCGCAAAGGAAGGTACTCGAGTGGCAGCCATGTACTTGTAAAGTAAGTGTAGGGCAGGTCCCCGTTAGATGGAGTGACGACCTGATAAGAAATGCAGAAGTCGGTGAATGTAGGTGATTGAGGCCCGTATTTTGCGGCGGTTTTCTGAGAGGCC